CTCACACCTTCGTGTAATGGGTGACTGTAAACACTGGTCATTGGGAAGTATCTCCAAAGCCCTAAGATGTGCTTTGCAAGGGAAATCTCTGAGTATGCTGTAATAATGGATAATTTCCTGCCCATTAGTTGAATAAGGAAGACAAAATTTGCCTTTCATTGTTGTATTTCATAATGCAAATGTGATTTTGAATATGTGTAATTTTTAAATATTTAATAAGCAATGTCCTAAAGCTTAGTATACAGTAGGTACGGCACATGCTGTGGGAGGAGGAGAATGGACAGAGCTTTGGCTGGTTGGCTGCCCTTCTTCTGGGGCAGGGCACAAAGGAATGTTAAGAAATTTATTTCCTACCACATTATTCCCTGGAGACCGTGGCTAGGTGTTGATATGAGTGGGGTAAACCTTATTTTGAAAACCTTATAACCATCTAGACACAAAAATATTACAAGATGGCACATAGGTGGGGTGCCAAGCGTTGTCAAATTCATAACAAATTTGACAAAATTTGACAAAGTAGAATAGGAGTAAACCCAGGGTGAGGGAAAGGGGAGTTAGTGTTCCCTGGGTGGATTTCAGTTTGGGAAGATGAAAAAGCTTCAGAGATAGACAATGGTGATAGTTGCATAAAGAATACACTTGATGCCACTGATTTATCTGTAACTTAAAAATGGTTAACATAGGCCAGGTGTGTTGGCTCATGCCTGTAATCCTAGCAGTCTGGGAGCCCAAGGTGGGAGATTGCCTGAGGCCAGGAGTTTGAGCTCAGCCTGAATAAGAGAAATACCCTGTCTCTACCAAAACAAACAAACAACAACAACAACAACAAAAACCAGAACAAATTAGCTGGGTGTGGTAGTGCACACCTGTAGTCCCAGGTACTTGGGAGACCAAGACAGGAGGCTCGCTTGAGCCCAGGAGTTTGAGGTTGCTATGAGCTATGATGATGCCACTGCGTTCTACCTGGGGCAATGGAGCAAGACTTGGTCTTAAAAAAAAAAAAAAAAGAAAAGAAACAAAAGAAAGAAAGGAAAAATGATACATTTTGTTATTATATATATATTTACACAATAAATTTTAAAAATCGCCTGTAGCTATGATTTACAGCTGTCCTAGAAAGTGAACCATTTTCCAGATTAAATCAACCACAGAACCATTTTATTTCTTTAGTCTAGAAGTGGGTCACCAAGCATTACTGTCGAGGTCCCCTAGGAGGCTGAAGCCTTTATGTTGCTTGGTTGGAAACTGAGCGATCTGTGGCACTCACGGCGCTTTTGCAGGTGATTCCTTCCTTCCCGTTTGCCCTAACTCCGCTCACTGCCTAAGTCTGTCAGCAAGTCTTCACTCTCCCACAGAGTTCGGGCTGAGCCCCGGTCACCTCTCTGCTGGACATTAGTGGCTTTTTACGTGACCCCCCTGTCCTGCTGCTGCTTTTACTCTCATTCTCTTTGGGACATCTGAAGTGATCTTTTTAATCCATAAATCAAGCATATGATTCTGCCACCCTAAAAGCATGAAATTCAAACAAATTAAAAAAAAATCACTCTCCTATCAAAAACCCTGTGGGTGCTTCCTATTGATGTTAAAATAAAACCCCAAACTCCCGTAGCTTGTCCCTGTCCCCTTCTCCACCAAGATCATCCTGGCCTTCCTTTGGCTCCCCAGCCCGACCCATTCTTTCCTAACATGGGTCCTTTCCACTGATGTCCTGCTGTCTGGAACATCCTTCATCTGATCTTGGCATTATTGGTCCCCTCTGACCCTGTGAGTCTCAACCTAAACGTCACCTCCTCAGAAACGCCCCTCTGTCCTATCACCTCGTCTGCATTTTATGTTATTGGCTGTTTATTTACAAATTCACTATTTGTTTACCTCTTCCTTCCAATTAGAACAAGAGCGCTGTGAGGTCAGGTCATCCCCCCAGCCTCGGTCAGTGTGTGGCACATAGAAGTTTCTGACAAAATGTCTCTTGAATGAATTGCATGAATGTCAACACCCAATGCAACAGTGCAGCAAAGATAGAAGACATCGGTACCCCTGAGGAGCTTACTTTGCCTCCCCTACGTTTCCCATCCCATTTTCTGATGCTAATTTCCACCCTGGAGCTTCTGCAGCCCACGTTGGTTTCCCCGGGGGATTGCTAGCTGTCTATGCGTCTCTGCATCTGAGTGAGCTTGCCTGTCATTGGGTGCTGAAAGCTCCCCAGCTTGTCCTGACCCTGGATTCCCTCCACAGCCAATCCCCTTGCATGGGGACTAAGAGTCATCAGTGCACCCCGTGTCGCCATCCCTCCCGTCTGTACAGTTAGACCATGGCTGTGGGTGAAGCTGGGGATGCTCCAGTGTGTGGTACCAAGGTGGCTGTCGGGAGCAGGCCTTCCCTGCCGGTCACAGGGCCCAGCCCTCCAGTCCACTCACGTGCTCAGTGTCTAGCCTCTCCGTGAGGACTCCATGGAACGGCTTGTCCTTCTGCTGCCCTGTGTCCTCAGCTCTGTGTCCCCATCCCTCGGAGTCCCTGCTCCCCCTCCTGACCCCACTGCTTTCCGGGAGTAAAGCGTCTCTCTCTGGGCTGTATTATAAGGCCTCTTACATTCTTTTTATGTGACTTACTTGTCCCATGGAGTAATTGGGACTGGAAATTCCATTGAAACAACTTCTAAAACTAGGAGGGAAGAAGATTACCATGTTTGGAGCAGTGCCTGTGTGCCAGGCACTGTGCTAAGCCATGTTTTTATATCATATCACTGAGTTCTCCTAGCTTCCCTGTGGTTAAAGGCTCTCCACTTTCTCAGAAGCAGCTGAGAACTAGAGAAGTTACTCACCTCCTGGAGCCCAGCTGGCACTAACACGGAGGTGGGCCTGTGGACCAGCTGGGCTGACTTGGAGCCTGGCGGCCACACTGGGAGAAGTGGAAATCAGTGGGGTGGGGGTGGGTGGGTGGGGAAGCGGGATGGCATCAGTGTTTGAAATGAGCAGCCATTTGCAACTCGTAATAATGAGAAGCGGTGAGCACTTGAGCTCTTAGTGGGGTATTTGAGAAGAGCAAGAATTCTTGCATTTGGGGCCCCCAGCTGTGCCCTCTGCTGGCTTTGGGCTCTGTGTAAGTTACTTAGCCTCTCTGAACTTTTAGCTCCTGCACCAGAAACTAGGGGCAGCAATAGCTGCCTCCCTGGCTGTGTATGTGAGCACTGAACACATTCTAATCATTAAAAGTAATATCTGTTAATACTATTAAACTTTTCATTACGTTTCCAGTATCTTCTTCCTTGTGCTGAGGGTCTCTGTGATTCCTTCCCTGTCTGTTTTGTCCTGTGGTTCCTGGAGTAGAGGCGGTCACTTTCTGTAGCTGATGTAGTTGAAAAGGCTTAATAGGCTTCGGATGAGGGAAGGAAGCTGAAATCTCTGTTTTAAGTTAAATATACTTCTTCCTCCTGTGTTGTAGATCTGGCAAGCAGAAAAAACATACTTTTATCTATGGTATGGATATTTGCTTTTGTAGCTGAGCAAAGGCACCTTTGTTTTTGTTGAGAGAAGGGGTCATTTCTGTTTCTTAATCTGTATTAAATATAATGATAGGATTTAGCATTTCATCAAGGTCCATGTAAAATCAAATGAACCACTTCAGCTGTCCCTACAGGTAGATCTCCCTTTAGAGAATAGCTTTGTGCAGAAGATTTATAAATAAATGGAATTCATATATTTGAATCGCATTTTCCCTGAGTTATGTAATTAGTTAAGTGATGTAATGAATAAGGTACTTTGTATTCTGGCTTTGACTTTGACTATTTTCTGTTTATTGTCTATAAACAGATACTTCAGTACTTAAAAGAATCTTGCCATTCAAAGGTATCCCACAAGGAATCTCATTCTGGTGTCAGTAATTACCTGTCATAGATCAGGTGGGGTGAGGTACCAGGCATGCAGGGCTGCTCCAGGGAGCAGGTGGGGGACAGCTGCAAGCTAGGGACACTCGGCTAGGGCCTGGGCACTTGCACCCCATCCTAAGGTGAATTCCTATGTCCATTGCCCCCTCGTCTGAAGGGACTGAATTAACTTGGGCTTTATTCAGGCAGACTACCAACCCAAGAGGTGAGTCTGGTGGATTGGACACAGCAACTACCCTTTAGGTATTAGGGTAGCAGTTATGCCTGGTGGACAGCAGCGTGAGTCTGGCTACCCGGTCTTTTCACTCACAGCCAGATGCAAAGGGAGAGAAGGGCACTGGCTAGGGGGTCAAAGGCTCAAGGAGAACAAGCATGCTAAACAGGGAAACCAAGGCAGTGCCATTTATATGGACTAAGCCAGTGTGATGGTGACAGGGGAGGCCTAACTTAAAGGGTCGGCTGTAGGTGGGAGCTTGGGGAATGCCTGGTGTGGGGCTCCACACAGTGGCAGGTGGCTCCCCATCTGGTGCATTGAGCTGCAACTCTCCTCGCTTCCCTGCTCAGGGCAGACCCAGAGGTGGGGCAGGTGGAAACTCTAGGGACTGTGATTACGTGGGGCTTGGAAGACAAGAGTGGATGCCCCCTTCTTCCCATGGGGTATTGTGGTTTTGTGCTTTGAAAACATATTTATTTTTTAATTAGTGAGAATCTGAGACACTAGTATTATGAAAGGACTCACCTGCTGGAGAAGTGGGAGATCCCTGGGAGAGCCACCCTCACGGCCTTTATTCTACAGAGAGCACGCTTACCCTTGCTGAGATGCTTTTGCTACCAAAGAGCAGTGTCTCTGCATCAGAAGGGCTTGTTAACTCTGATTTCTGAACTCCATTCCCCAAATTTCTGAATCCGTATGTCTGAGGAGGAGCCAGAGAATTTGCATTTCCAGCAATTTCCCAGGTAAAGGCCCCTCTTGCTGTTTCAGGGGACATACTCTGAGATCCACTGTCAGGGAGTAATTGATTCATTCATCATGCTGTGAATGTAAATTATATGTATTTTTGTCATGTCCATCTTTTGTGTACTTATTGACACGCTTATTTGTGTCTCCTTTGAACAGGCATTTCGATGTTGGACTGCATAATTTCTTAATCAGGTAAGCCCATAATTTTTAGATAACATTATATAGCACGTCTATTATGAGAGACTGCAATGGAAACTAGATCCTTAAGTGTCTTGACAAATATGGCAACTGTGTATACTTGCCAAGGGAAACATTGCTAACATTGTGGTTTTTTATGTTGCCCCAAATCATATGTGATTAAACAATTAAGGACATCAGTGTTTACAGGGGCTTATATCTGACGTGATAGTTGCCCAACATCTTGGATTAGCTTAATGACAACTGCTAGTCTGCTGGAAGAACTCACAGAAAAATGAACCATTCTGGCCTGTACTCAGATATTAACTCACTTAACCAATTGTCCGTCCATTGAATTTGATCTTTTTAAAGCGAATCTACTGGTTGTTTTACAGTCACGAAGATACAACCTTATTCATAATTAAAAAGAGATTGCAGATGGCAGTTTATATCCTAGTTTATTGGTGATTTTTATCAGAGTTGTCTTATGGGGCGTATTAATTTCAAATAGCTATTACATCAAACAGATTAGTAGAAATATACCAGAATATTAATAGGGTTTATAAGAATATGCATGATTCTTTTTCCTCTTGTCAACTTTGCTGTATTTTCTAAGTTTTTATAATTAGCATGCATTACTCTCCTAATGGTGAAAAATATGATCGTTAAAATGCCTGCCAAAAATATGAGGGCAGCAGAAACGTCTGCTGAAAGACTGTAAACTAGAGATGAGGAGGAAACCAGCAATCACTCAGGGGTGTCCAGCCTGCGGGTCACATGCAGGTTATTTGAGGACTGTTTTGCTTGTTGATGATGTTGGATATCACAATATGCACCATGTAAGGGTACGTAGCACACCCTCTGGGTGAAGGGCTCCACTTGAACTTTGCCTTAGGAACACAAACAGTGTAACCTAATCATTTGTACCCTCCTATTAATCAAATTAAAAAATATTAAACAACCCAAAGTATGGGGTGGCACCGGTGGCTCAAAGGAGTAGGGCACCGGCTCCATATGTGTGGCCCCAGACAGCGCTTACTCTTCCAAAGTACAACAGAAAAGAAGAAAAGGACGGACACCCTGAGAGTGATTTGCTTCCTGCAAGTATGTGACCCGGAATGCTAATTAATTCCAGCAGTCTCCTAATAAACAGTCTGTAGCTCCAGTGTGAGTCTGGGGAGAGGTGCAGTGGTGGTTCGGTTTTCTACCATGGTAAGATGCCCTTGTAGGGGAAGTGTGCATAACCGACACCCCCTTTATGCTCAACCAACTGTACCTCCTCTGTGCTGCGTGTGGTGGGTTCTGGCTGAGGCTGTGTATACATTGTCCTCTTTTCCGAAGGCTCGTCCAGGGTTGCACATTGAAATCTTCACCTACCCCGGACTCGAGGAATATGGCTTGTTTTAGCTTTCTTTCTCCCCCCCCGCCTTTTTTTTTTTTTAAATTAAATGATAACTATGTACATTAATGCAATTCTGGGGTACAGTGTGGTGTTTTCATATACAATTTGAAATGTTTTCATCAAACTGGTTAACATAGCCTTCATGTCATTTTCTTAGTTATTGTGTTAAGACATTCATATTCTACTCTTAGAAAGATTCACTTGTACACTTGTAAGATAAACCATAGAGGTGATACCTCCAATCACCCTCCACCCATTCCCCTCTCCCTTCTCTCTTTCTTCAGGGTAGTGTATAAAGTGTACTACTCTTGACACAGCCAGGTCAATGCATTTTAGCAGGAGGGACAAAGGGCCAGCAGTCGTGGGGAAGCAGGCAGGAGGATTCCACATCTAAACGGATCCTAGGACGCTGTTTGGGGATACTCAGGGGTTTCTGAGCTGCTGTCTTTGGAACCTTGCACCACTCCCACCGTTTTTTTACCTGATGCCTTGTAGCAGATGCAAAGTTGTACTTCTCTTATTTCTTCTCATAAGTTTCTTGAGGGCAGGGATCGTGCCTTAATCACCTATCAATAATTAAATTCAGAAACTTATATAGAATCAAGCTTCAATGAACATTCATGGCAGGAGCGAATGACTGTGATGGGACAGGACAAGGAGGGTGAAGAAGCTGTTCGTTCATTTATTCAGCAAATAGTCGTCAAGCTTACCATGTGCCGCTCACCTGGCTATGTGTGGGAAAACTGTCACTTGCAAAAACAGACATTTGATTTGAAGCTTTCCCTGAACTTACCACTTGCCAGGCTTGTCTGAGCGAGAGGTGGTATACCTCGGGGATCCCTCCTCCCTTCATTCCTCTGTGCTACAATAACCATTTCTCCTGTGTTGGGTCTGGAGGAAGGAAAAGGCAGGTAAGGTGGCTCTAATGTGACAGGACAAGGTTCCCTGGCCCTGGCAGGAGGCCCTTGTGGGCGGGTCCTGGGACATGCTCTACCTGGCCAATTTAAACAGTGTTCTGTGAAGCAAGCAGAACGGCAGAGTAAGGCTTCTCTCCGCCCTGCCATCTCCCTGCACTGTTCCTTCCCCTTAGTCTGGTAGAGGGAGGGGCAGAGCACAGCTTATCCAACTGGGGACCGAGGTTGGTCTCCCCTTCACGCAGGCATCCCCAGCCTCTGAGAGTAGGTTGCTTTATCCCCTACCGACCAATCTCCCTACTAAGCTAACCACTTAAAGACTCCCAGGGGAGCTGGTTGCTGGGAGCAGAGTCAGTTCTCCATCTCTTAGTAACCTGAGATGGCTGTCTTGCCTCTTATCTGCAGCTCTCTTTAGAAAGATCTTTAGATCTTTTCTATCTCCAGCTCGGGAGGTCAAATTTGATGGGACTAAGTCCTGTTTGTGATTGGATACCTCAGTGAGGATTGTTTGACTGGGACAACGACCCTGAACCGGGTTGAAGAGGGTGGGGGGTGTGGTAGGGTGGGCAGTGAGGGGATGGCAATGACAGGTCTTGTAAGAAGTTACGCTGTAAAGAGGGAGAAAGGGCAGTGGGGGACCGGGAGGGAGTTTTTTCTTTCTAATGTGAGGAAATCTTGTATTTAGCCACCAGAAGGTCTTAAGTGCCCTTCAGACAGAGAGAAAGCGGTTTCAGTAGGTGGAAAGAAGCAGTGTGATTGCCAGGGGGCAATGAGTGCTTCCTTAGCCCCAGAGCAATGGCATTTTCCTATAAATATGTCACTGGAGAAAAAACCTTGGAGGGTTGGAAGAGGGAGGGGTGGGGGATGGTACTTGAGGAAGCCTTTTCCCTCTGTGATGGCCCAAGAGAACAAAATATATTTCCTTTTGTAAAAGAGGAAATGTGGGAGAAATTGGATTTTTTTTTTCTTTGAAGAATTGCATTTATCGGCTCTAACAAGCTCTTGGCGTGGACTTTGGTTTGTCAGGCTTTATTGAATGCTTTGTGTTCGGCATAAGAGAAAGTGTAGCTTGCCTGAAATTAATCAGCTGCATCTCTTAAGTTGATGAAAGTAATGTCAATTTCTCTAGCATGATGAAATGTCCCCCGAGTCAAGGGCCCTATCTGTGGTCTCAGGCCAGGCAACTGCAAGGGGGGGACATGGTTCCCTTTGAGTTGTTGGTGTTTTCTACCAAGGTGTAGGGCAGGAAGGAGCTGTCATGTTTGATGAAATGTGAACATTTTGGGGATTGCTGTTTTGTGAGGATTATGGGAATATTCAGTGAGTTTAATCCTTCTGCATTTCATAGAAATCAAAGTTGCAGGAAGTAGCAACTCACTTGAGAATAGCTTCAGAAGAAGCCTATTGGCTTGAGTTCTGAACGTGACACTACAGAAAATAAATAAAGGAGAAAGGTGATCAACCTGGGGAAAGAGGTTAAGAGATTACAGGATAAAACAGCTCTGTTTCGTGTTAGGTAATAGGGCGGCTTGTTTAAAGGTAGCTGAGTTTAGCTTGAGCAAGAAAATTTTTAAGGTATTATTTTTTTTTGGTTTGAGTCTTGCTGCCTGAGGCATTTTTCATTTTATCCCAGAATTGTAGCCACTTTTAAGACAAAGGTACACTTGTTCTCACTTATGTGAAATCTTAAAAACGTCAAACTCGTGTAGAAGCAGAAAGTAGAACAGTGTTTACCAGGGTTGTGGGGGTGGAAATTGAGGAGTTACAAGTCAAAAAGACAAAACACTGGGGGCGCCTATGGCTCTGTGAGTAGGGTGCCAGCCCCATATACTGAGGGTGGTGGGGTCAAACCTGGCCCT